CGCCTGGACTTTTTTCCCTTCCGCCTCTGTCTGCCCTGCCAACTGCCAGGCCCCTTCCCATTTTTTTTTTGTTTCCCAGTCAGCCACTAGGCTACGCTAGTACAAAACTTGCCTCCACCAGAGTACTTGAGTGGGTCTTCGGACTTTCTGTCTCCTTTGTCGCCTTCTGCTTATGTAATGAGACAGATGTAAGCTACCCTACAACATCAACGAGCAGATTTTGACTTTGGCTTTTGATTTTGCATCTGGCAATTGGATACATTCGGAATTACACGTCTAATGTGCAGCTATCTTTTTTTTTTTTTTCTAAAGTGAGTGAGTCTTGTAGCTTTTGGCGCTGTGGCGTTGATGGGCTGATCCGCTGAAGCCTTGCATTGTTGCAAACCATTGGAATACGTTCCAAGACTTCTGATTACCTATCTAAGCATTCATCACATAAAGACTAGACAGATACCTACCTAGGTAGGTAGGAACCACACTTGAAAAAAACCCAGTGACATCATTATCGGGGCTATTTATCTGACGACCAGAATCCGGTGGACACCATGGCAGACGAGAATACTCATGTAGATTGAACAATGTCAAGTCAAGTCAAGTTAGAATTCCTCTAGTTTAAATACGAATGCACCCTTACTCTATTGTTAGACGTCCCAAGTAATTATCTATGATGTCTCATTCCCGATCTGTAATAATCGTGTGGCCGCCACGTCCACAGCGCCTGTGTACAAACTCGCCAGTTTCATTGTCCCGTCTACTCTCGTGACACATCACGGCCGAATGCCTTGGACTTGAGCCAATCCAGAATGACCAAGACTCGATTGCGGGCTGTTTGGTAGTCGGTTAGTTCCCGGCGCTTGAGGAAAAGAGGCGGAAGGGGGCCACCAAGGTGAAAACTGCAATAATCAAAGCCAGGGATATAACTCACTGCTAAAGCACATGGAGAGGTAAGCGCTGCGCCAGAAAAGATAGGTCAAGCTGCCACCGGTGGCCAAATTCCCGTTCCACCAGCTGACATCGGCAACAGCCTTCTCACTACCAATGTAGGCCAAGCTACCCTGATGACTGTATCTGAAGGGTTTAATATCCTTGATCCTGCGCAGTTGCTTCTCCAGACTCTCAATCTCGTGTGCGGCCTCGGCCGAGTTACCAGCCTGCAGATTCATCTTGCTACTCAGCTCCTGAATGCGAGACTCGTGATTTTCAGTCTTGGCCATGTTGTTGAACAGCCGGCCGAGGAAGTTGCCTTCCTGAGATGCGACCTGTGCAGTGGGAGCATACCCAGCGACGGCGCAGTCACCAATGGCCCAGATATCACGGGTGCCCTGCACAACCAGGTACTCGTTGACGGCCAAGCCACGGCGTGAATCTTTCTGGGCAGGGATCTTGGTTATCAGGTCCTTGACGATTGGCCGCACGGCGTTGCCAGTGGCCCAGACCAGAAGGCCGTAAGGGATGACAACGCGCTCCTTGCCACCGTCAGGGCGACTGACTTCGGCCTCGACTGTGGTATCCGTGACCCTCTTGACCATGGTCTTTGTCTTGATGTCAATCTTTTCCTCACGGAACGTGTTCTCGGTGTAATCAATGAGCTGCTTGGAGAAGGAGGGAAGGACATTGGGGAGGGCTTCGATCAGGGTGACCTTGAAGCGAGGGCTGATTTCAGGAACGAGTTTCTTGATGTCCTCCTCGAAGAAGTCCTGGAGCTCGCCGGCAAACTCAACACCAGTGGGCCCGCCGCCGACAACAACCATGTGCATCAGCCTATCAATCTCGTCGCTGGTCTGTCCCTTGAAGGCGGCAGTCTCGACGCAGTCCATAATTTTCTTGCGGATCTGCTGGGCATCGCCAATTTCCTTGAGGAAACAGCTATGTTCTCGCACACCGGGAATGCCAAAGGTTGCGTTCTCAGCACCGACGCCAATGACGAGCATGTCGTAAGGAATCTCGGTCTCGGAGGTGGCCCCCTGGATTTCCGAATTGTCGACAATCTTGATGACTTTTCGATCGGGGTCGATGGACGAGGCTTCCGCCTCATAAAACTTGACTGCTGCTTTTTTGTGTCGTAGAATGGTTCGGACAGGCTCCATGATGGACCTGTGCTCGATGGTGCCGGTCGTGCATGACGGCAGGAGGGGGGTGAACAAGAAATAGTTTCGAGGAGACACGACGACGACGTTGTAATTCTCGGTATCCAACTTCTTGAGCAAGGCGACAGACCCCCAGCCAGTACCTGAGAAGGGACCAAGGTTAGTAACAGTGTACGAGGTATACTAGTCATGTAGCAGTTGCAGAGCTGGACTCCGATTTCGCTCACCTAGAATGACCAGCGTCTTCTTGGTCGGATCCGGCTCGAACTGGGGTTCTGGATGGCGATCCTGGTAGACGATGTAGCAGGTGTAGCCTACAAGGCCAACGGCGGAGAGATAGGTGATTCTCCATGCCCACCTGAAGGTCCTGCGCAGTCTGCCGGGCTTGGGCTTGGGCTTGGGGGCTTCGTCGGCATAAGCTCTGCGGAATGCGACCCTGCCAGTCGCGGCGAGCCTCATGGCGACGGTCGGCCTCGCGGCTGACCGCAGAGCATGGCGTCCGGTCGCCGCAGAGTAGGCCGTAGAGTAGGCTCTGGATCCGACGCGGGTTGGCAATGCCAATTGACTTGCTCGACCGAGGGCGGCCAGAGCTCGGGGGGTGGAAGGCATTGCGCCGGAGCTCCGGAGTGCCGTCTGCACAGAGACTCAATTGCGCCGGCAAGCAGCAAAGACGGAAGCAATGGGTGGTGACGTGCCGCCGGAGAGGGAGGGAGGACGAGGTGGCAGAGAGTACGTGTTGCAGCTCGAGGTGAACTTGGCGTCTGAGAGAGAGAGAAAGCTGTTTGTCTGGGCTTGGCGGTTTGGCGCTTTTTTTTTCTCTCTTTCTCTATGAATGACTCTGTCCTTTTTCCTTGGCGCGTGCGGCCCGTTCTTCGCAGTGACTGACAGCGTCAACGACAGCGCCAGAGCCTTGTGCTCTTTGAGCCCTGGGCTCCACGTCCCTTCTTTTCTTGTTTTTCATTGGGCGAAAGCGCCAACTTTGGGTCTTGGGCTGTCCCACCGGCCCTCGGCCGCTTTTTTCGGTAGTAATTTATTTTATTAACGCAGAAAATCTTTGCAAAGACGCCGCTTACACAAGCAATGCCGGGTGTCTGGTAACGTCATTTGTAGACACTCGGCGGTCTGGACTCGGGAGACGCCGCCGCGGACACCTTGACCACGATGCACGACTCTTCATGAGTCTCCAGCAATTCATCTCAGTCTTGATGGTCTGTCTGGAGCCTCCAGTGCTGCCCGTGTTGCCGCCGTCCCATCTTGGCCCCTGGTTCCGACATCAGCCGATATCCGCGAATCTGACGACAGTCACGACGCCTATTACTAGTACAACATCAAAGCAAGAAGCGCCATGTTCGGTTCTTCCCGCCGTTGCCTGTCGCTGCGTCACGGGAGCCGCAGCTTGGCCTCGATGGCTTTCTCGCTGCTCTCTTGCCGAGGCTCCAGCTTCTCCCGACAGACATATATACTAATGTACCTAGGCATATGGGTTGATGGGGTCTAGCAACAAACACACTCGATGGCTGATGCCATGTGGCATACATATGTACGTCGAGGCAAACACACGCCGACATGTTCCTGCGGCAGTTAATGCTGGCTGTTGTTTTCTGGGGTGATTCCTTGGGCTCTGATTTGTCCGGCTCCCCAACCAACCCCAACCATAATCACATGTCTGTTGCCTCTCTCCCATCATGTTATTGTCGGAACTGATTCGTCGTTTCTCCTGCCGATACGGAGTAGAAGAATCTCGATATTGCCGGCGATCCTCCCGGCCGTGACAGCCCTGTCAAGAGATTGAAGAACCATTGGCGCGGAGCAAAGCTGCCCGATGCTTGAGTGAACAGCTTCACCAGCTTTGTCGTGGGACACCCAGGTGTACCATGATGCCGTCACAGATGAGCAATTCAAGGCACCCCAAAGGCCCTGCGGCATCACTCTCTCCGTCTTGGAGTCTTTGCCCGTGGTTCTGCCGGGACCGGGACCGGGACCGTGACCGTCATCTGAAACCAGCCGTGGTCAAATCTGCGACATGACGAGCAAAACCTTTGTCGCAGAACGAGCCCCAACGCTACGCACCATTGCCTCCCCAGTCTCCCCGGCTCCACATTTGTAGTCTGGTGCTACACATGCATGTACATACACAAGTACATACTTTATGTACACACAGTATGCAAGTTACATAAATCGAAAGCCCATACGCAGGGGCAGTCGTGACGCCTCAACGATCCCAATGTGGTATCGCCAGCGACACGGGTAGATGACCGTCTTGCCGCGCAACCACGGACCTCTTTTCCCACGACACGCTCGCCAAAACGCCAGACAGGCTAGCTGTCTGAGGTCTCTGACCAACGGCTCTCACCACCCACTACCTGCCAACCTGGCCGTCGCAGATAGCCATGCTCTACCGTTCCGGCAGCTTCTTTGCCTTGATTTCATGCTGCACCATGTTGGAGCCCCTTGACATGCCATCTATGGCACCACACCTCGGAACCACGCGCCGTCGACCGAACATGGAGGCCTCGACCTCGACCCAAAGACTGTTTTGTTTTGTCTTCTTCCTTCGCCCTCCCTTTTATTTTCTCCGAGTCCCTATATTCATTCACCTCTGGTCTTTGCAACTCCGTTGGCTATTTACCCTTTGGCCGCTGCCTTTTCGAACTGGCCGGGCTTCAACTGTGCATGGTGCACCGGACTGCCCTTCTTGCTACTTGATTTCCTGATCGGGGCTGGCCCTGTATCATTCTCATTCACTTACAAGTCTCGTCCGAGTCCGTGGCACTTTCTTCTTTGTCGACGTCGTTTTTCAACACCTCGTCTGTTTCTTCTAGCTTAGCCATGAACTTCACATATCGACTTCCTACCAAGCCTTAAAGGAGAATAATGCAAAGCAACTCGCACGACTTGTCTTGAGAAGCCATCATGGTATCGGTTGCGGAGAAAGACGGGCCTGCGTTGCAGGACAACAAGCCGCCAACTAAACTCCCTATGGACTTTCCCATCTGGACTCGGGCAGAAGATGATGAGAAGGACCGAAATGCCGGGTTATCAATACTACAGCGAAGAAGTAGAAAGTGGAACAGGGACCATGGCGTAGCACATGCCGCCGACCCTGCACAGCGGCCCAGCCGTCTTGACAGCAGAGGACTTTTCAAGGACATTGCTCAGCCGGTTGTGAGCGGTATATTCGATGCATTATCTCCTCAAGATGGGCCGCAGAGCAGCGACGATGAAAAAAGTCCCAAGTCCGAGGGCCTGAAGCAGCCTGCCCCGATTCAAACCCAACCTCTGCCTCGGTTACCAGCACTGAAGTCACCAGAGTCACCAAAATCACCCAAATCACCCAAATCACCCAAGTCGCCAACTTCACCGGCTAATCCAGCCCCTCCGCCTCCTCCGGCCTATCCAACTCCTTCTCCTCTTCCATCGCCGCCTCCCCCAGTTTCAAATCCAGGAAACGTGAGTCATCTTGATAACCCATTAACCAAGTGGATACAGAAACAGTAACCCGCCCTTTGCGCACGTTGATTACGATGCCGACTGTATGGCTGACTTTTGCTATCAGCCTAAACCCACAGAAGCCGTTGTCAATCCTATCCAGCCGCCTCCGGGAAACACGTGGCCAGACAGCAGCTACGGTCCAAGTATGGGATTCAGCACGTTGACTCCAAGTGCTTCAACAACTAGACGGACAACTACGACCAATGCGCCTCCGCCTTCACTTGCGCCGATTGTTACCATTCCCGTGCCATTGTCTACTGGCCCCAGAAAAGGTGTTAATCCTCTGCCAACGTTAGATGCGGTCTCGACATTTTCGATGTCAATGTCTCCGACGAGCCCCGCAAGCCCGGCGAGCCCGGCGAGCCCGACGAGCTCGTCTTCCGTGTACCCCACGCCAATCTCTGATTCAGGCAAGGCATATCACCCCGGTCATGACAAGGGCAATATCCATCCCAAAGTAGAAATGGCCCTTGTTGCCCTGGGCTCAATTGGTATGCTGAGAGCCTTCCCTTCCTCGGACCGGAAATCGGAGCTGGTTTGACTGATACATGAGAATGCAGGTTCATCAATCATTGTTGCGTTTATTGGGTGGTTGATTTGGCGGTGTCACAAACGCCGCCGGGCGATTGACAGTTCCAGGACCTGGAAACCACATTTCCCCAAAAACATGCCTACGGATAAACCAAAGCTGTTGGTAACGAATGCACTCGCTCGCATTCCCATTCTCAAAAACCGCATGGATGATCGCCGCCGCCGCTGGACAAACCTTGATCAAGCAGATCTCGGCCCGTTCAGTGAGAAGGCGTATGTGGCCCAGGCCCAGTCAATGGCGATACAACAGCCACCTCTCTCGGGCGTATCTGTTCAGACCGACTTTGTTAGAACCAGCACGCATGCCGATGTGCCTCAAAATGGGGCAACGTTACACGTGCCAAAGGTTTCCATATCATCCATTGAGCCTCAGGCTGGTAGTACTCTTCGATCTGGAGCTCAACTCCCAAACACTCGCATGAGCGACATTTCTTCCCTGTCATCCGGATTTGGCGATGGGCAATTCATGGTAGGTACCATGAGTAGCGGCACAAATTCTGCAAACAATACCGCCTCTGAGACTACAGTCAAGGCACCATTGCCCGTGGCAAGGCGAGAAAGCATCGGGGCTTTGAGCCAGCGGCGCGACACCGTGTATACCGAGGCAAGTGAGGATACGCCTGCCCGGTTTCGCAGTGTCAACTCATGGGTGAGGCAGCAGACGGGACGAGTAACGCGTGCGACGCAGCGCAATCAGGCATCCGATGCTCCACCCGTGCCTGCATTGCCGCCGGAGCAGGACTTTGATCTCATGATGCCTGATGGGGAGGAGCCTCGGCGGGCTGATTCTGTAACAGGATACGGTGTAGCTCGTTGATGATGATGATGTCGAACAAGAGAAATTATAGTATGACGTATTGTCCTTGGACAAAGAAAAAAATATATATCTCTATATATAATAGCAATGACACAATATTTAATTGAGAAAGCGTGGCACTGGGATGACAAACATGACCGTGAACACTCTTCTACGTCCTTTTTCTTTTTCTATGGCGACCCCTATTCGTGGCTGATTCTGCTGAGAGAATATACAAATGCATAGGTGCAGCTATGAAAAGAAAGAAAAACTCATCTATTTGTACGGAAACATTTCCCAGAATCCGGTTTCCATCTGTAGACGCATGAGGAACTTGCCAAATGACGAAAACAATTGATTTCACAAACGCACCTTTGTCCCATGTATGAATATCTTGATCAGCTCCTCGACGCGGCTTGGTGACTGAAGCCGCATGTGCTTTTCCAAAAGCTCTGGCATGCCGGAGGGCGGCGCAAATATGTCAGCTACAAGCCTGGACAAGCACGCCGCAGAAACTCACCCGAACCGAGCCTCACCGCGCTCGTGTAGTCTTCAGCCACGTAGTTTTGGATCCACGGCCAGTAGATATTGTCCTTGGTGCGGGTGAGTCTGTGGGAATGCAGCATCTGGGCCACTGCGCCGTAGCCGAGCAGGCAGGGAGCCAGGGCCATTTGGAGGGCCAGCCAATCTTCGCTCTGGCCAACGTCCAACACGTACCGGGTATATGCTGTACATGCTACATGTTGAGGGTAGTATTAGTGTGAGTTTACTGTTTCTGTTGTTTTTCTTTTTGATTCCCTCTTGTACGGCTCCGTCATATGCAAGAGGAATTTCAGACAGCCGACGAGCCTCCTTACCTTGCTTTTCTTCAGTTGCTTGTATTTCTTCCTCTGATATGCCAAACTGCTTGCAGTAGTTGACATGTAGCTGCATCTCATGGATGATGTAGCCGACGATTTTGTTTGCCTGTTTTCGGAAGCGTTAGATACGGCAGACACTAGTGTTTCGTGCTGTCCATGCAACTGACTCTGCCGATGCTTTCGATATCCTTTGATTTATAAGCAGCCAGGGCATTTGCTCTTGAGAAGTGGACCTGTTTTTTCCCGACGTACGGCGTGTTAGATTCTGCACCCTCTCATCGGTGTTGAAGAGGATTCAGAAAAGGGATGGAGTGTGGCGCACCAAGTAAAGATAGTCTTGGACAATGTATCCCTTGAAAGATTCCAGCGGCAAGGTTCCGTCGCCGAGAGCCATCACGAATGGATGGTAGACAAATGTCTCCCATACATCCTTCACGTCAGGCCGCTGGAGGAGATACTCTATAAAATAGCCACTTGTTTACGGCACGTCAGCCCTGGAGGGTTCGGTGTGGTGTCGGTGTGAGGGGAAAGGGGAAAGAAAGGGGGTAGATATGGCAACTTACGGAGCGAATGGAAGGCTTTGAATTGAATGGAAGTGATCTAGTGGTCCGTTTCCCTTACCTAGCTTCGGTGCGCTCCTTATACCAGCCTCGATATATCGACAAGCTGAGTGGACCGCAGCAGGCACATCGATTCCTTTAGCAAGCCCGGCAGCGATGGCAGCTTCACAGATGTTAGAGAGCTTGACCTTGACAGAAGAGAAGTTATGCCCCGGAAACAGTACAGCAAGTCCATTTCACTTACAAGCTAGCGAGCACCCTGTACCGTGAGTACTAGTACTCGGCTGATAGGGGCTCTGTACTCTGAAGACCTTGCCCTCTGGTCCGACTAGAAGGTCTACAACAACGTGCTTCTCATGCTCAGTTTCGGCGACGCTCATATCTGCACGGAATGGTAGATGGCCGCCCTTGACAAGAACCCATTCCGGACCGAGAGCTTGGATACGACGACCCATGAATTCGACATCAGAGACGGAGCAAATCTTCTTTTCAGCCAAGGCAGAATCGCCATTTTCCGAGAGGATCAGAATGGCTTCTGGGATGTTGGGCGTGAGAACTGTCGTGCGGGGAAGCATATGCATCGAAAGCTCTCGTATAGCCTCGCGTGGAAGCAACTGAGCGCCAGATGTCGACACCATTACCTAATAAGACAGACGGCTTTAGCAGCTTCGGCCATGGAGTGATGGGCTGGGCGGGTGTATTGCCTACCGGATCGACCACCAGCGACGTAATTCCGTGTTTGGCGACTTGTCTCGCAATCATATCAATGGTCTCTGCTGCAGCAAGCATGCCTAGATTGAAAGACGAGGGACATGTGTGTTAGTACGTGAACAAGTTTGACGCAAAAGATTGATAAGTGCGTTGATCGTCCTCGATGTTCAAAAGAAGGAGGGGGTTTTGATGTTTCCACAGATGAGTGGTATCTAACAAACCTGTTTTGATTACGTCTACGCCGACATCTTCGATACAAGCCTCGATCTGCTGTTCCACAAACGCCGCTGGGATGACGTGAATTCCCCTGACACCCGTGGTATTTTGAGCAGTCAGGGCTGTGGTAGCCGTCATGGCGTAGCAGCCATGTGCAGCGAGAACTTTCTGATCGGCTTCCAACCCTCTGCAGAATCAACGTGACAAATGTAAAAAGTCAGCCTGGCCAATTATAGCGGTGCGGAATCCGGATGGTGGCATGGCCGACCCAAATCAAGGACACGCCGCGAGAATAAAACGAAGCACTTGTGATGTTATGAAATAAGATGATGGATGGGTAGTTTGACGAGCTACTTACGCGCCGCCGGAGCAGTCGGAGCCGGCAATGACTAGCACTCTGCCCTTGACCATGGCTCCTGTTGCTTGAGTAACCTTTATATATGAGGTTCAATCCTGCCAGCCTCGAGTTGTGGCTGTGAGGGTACACTCTCTCCGCAACGGCGTTGGAACTTGGAACGAACCCGTCAATATCACCGTTGGCAGCTATGGTGGTGTCCATGACCAAAAGAAGCGCACCGTGTGGGGCGGCTATAATATGTCAAGTAGTTACATCATGTGTAGCCCGAGGAAAGATCACCATCCCGTCCATCTGCCACAGCGGCCCATTGAATGGTTCGGGTCGTGCTATCTTGTAAGAAAATCAAGTCATATTCATCCAGTCCCGCCTACGTTAACGCAATGGCACCATAAACGCTCCCCAACGCCTCCGTTGTCGCCCTCGATGATATACGTGAACCACATGGGCGATTGAGAGTATCCGTTCTTTGGCCGATTTACTCCATGCTGAAAGCACATTTCGGCCCTCCTCTACTCCCCCTTTTTAAGCTGACAGTATGCTACCCCATTTCCAAATGTATGTAAATTGCAAAATACCACTGTGATATCCACAAGGGCAGCGCCGTGTCTCGCTTGCTATCTGTATTGCACTTGGCTCTGTTTCCCGAAGAAATTTGCGGCGAAACCGGGATATTAAAATCATAAACAGGAGGCCTGATCCATTGCTTTTAAAAGCCCCATACAGGCGGCCACCCTGGAACGACGAGGCTTATATAGGCCGCTGAATCACTTGGCAGATTAGTGATATGGGTTGCGGCTTGCTGTTCTAAAGCACAACCCCAATACGCTCCATCTGTTACTTGGTCCCTTTTCTTATTTTCGCACCCGCAGTGGTGCTGGCATGAGGTCGGATGGCATCTCTGCCGGCTCGCTGATGCTTCTCTGTCGCTCTGTTCGATCATCACCTGAACTGCCATCACCGTTATCGTTCCCCCCTTGTCCGCTTGTAGACTCGCTGTCCTCGGTGTCATCGTCACCAAAGACGATTTGCCGCATCACGTTCTTCTCGAACAGATCAATCACCAACCTACGAATGCCGAGCCTGTAGTGATTCCATTCCATGAGGCCCATCACTTTTTTGAAAAAGTCTGTACTCCGGAAAGCATTTGGTTTTCTCTGCTTCAACTTCTGCAGCTCCATAAGCGCCTTCTTGTAGAGCACCATGTTGCCAAGGTCAACAATTAGTTCCAGAATTCGACCGTTGACGTCCTCATCGCTCAACAAAGGAGGCAATCCAGAGAGCTCCAGAGGTGGGCGGGCTTTCTGGATCGGAGGCTGTGCCTGAATAGTTCGTTGCGTATCGGGAATAGTTATGGATGCAGCGTTGACGTGTTGCCAGGGTACGACGGAAAAGAATTTGGAGAGATCGTTCGGTATGCATAGACCAAGAGAAGTCCCCATTGACGTCGTGTTAGCGTCCCAGCCGTGTTCTGAAAGAATCTCTAGTCCATGCGTGGATCGGGATATCAACCCCAGCACGAAAAATGCCGTCCCGCGAAGACTCATCACTTCATGCCCTTCGGCGATCTTAACAATTTGCTCAACTACATCGCTTGATTCCAGGAACGGCGCGCCAAGTTCCATTGATCCTACGTTGCCAACAGCCCAGAGACACCCCTTGACTTTGGTAATCAGCTCCGCGTCTTCTGTTTGCATACCGTGCTCGCGTATAGTCGTGACGAATTCCTCAAAGTGACCCTTGTCACGCAAAAGTTTGCAGCCTTCTCGGGTTCTAGTTAGTTCTCTGTAGAAATGCGGCGGAACATGGCTGTCGTGAAATCCGGCCTCTGGATCCGATTCATCAAAGAGGCTCAAGCGATGGCTATTGTCATCTGGGTCAGCCAAAAATGTCCGAGCTAGGCCTGCCTCAATGACCCCGACATATGAATCATTTCGCCCGAGGAACCAATCATCCATTTCATTACTGATGTAGTCTAATCCATCCAAGTAGTGGTATCCAATAGAGGTTGACAGGAATCGCAAGAGAAGGGGCGCGCCTATTTCTCCTAGATGATCCAGAGCTGGGCGACATTGAACTATGTACTCCAGATATACCTTCTTGTTGCAGGCACTTTCCAATATCTTGATTGCGGTCGAACATACTTCAATCTCGGGGTCGTAGAGCTGCGTGACTAGAAGACGAATCGCCCATTTCGAATCGCTCACTTCATTGTCGCCGCTAATGTTGGCTACGGGACCAATGGTGCATTTACGGAGGGCATTGGTGGCATGGATTCGAATATCTTTGGTTCCGGCAGTGAGAGCCTTGGAAAGTAAT